CGGTAAGTAGAATTTTTCTTCAACGACACCTCAACAGAAAGCCCAAATTTCTTTTTTTAGCAATACCTCTGCTGTGAGCAGAATTTTTCTTGGCTGCTACAATCTGGCGACGAACCAATTTATTTCTTCACAGCTACATTTTGCCGGATTAAAATTTCTTTTGTAGCTACAACTGTGACGATAAACCAAAATTCTTCTTTGCAGCTACATTTTGGCGGCGTGCCAAGTTAACAGGGTGCGACGAGCACTTTTGATATCTCATGATGTGTGACAACATCTTGATAGCGAGCTAAGTTGAAAATTTGTGACAAGCAACAACAATATTTTGACAGTAAGCCAAGTTGATTAATTGTGACTAGTCCTCAAGTTGATTAATTGTGACTAGTCCTCAAGTTGATTAATTGTGACTAGTCCTTTTGATATCTCGTGACGAGCACACTTTGCCATTTTGCAACTTTGAGGATTTTTTTTTTTTTTTTTTTGTTGTGTGGATTGAACTTAGAACAGGCCTCCAAGATGCCTATGTACCCTGAATAGGGATCAAGTCATTACATAGTTTAATTTTTTTTTTTTGAAAAAGTTTATACTCGTGTCAAAGAATTTTTGAGTTTTTTTTTTTCATGTAGACAGTTTAAACTCGTATCAAGTAGTGTCATTTTTTTTTTTTTTTTTAGGTGACAGTTTACACTCGTATCAAGGAGTTCTTGTTTTTTTTTCAGGAAGACAGTTTAAACTCGTGTCAAGGAATGTCATCGACAGTTTAGGCTCGTATCTGGGAGCACTTCAACTTTAATTATTCTTTTACCTTGCAAGAATCAGACTACAATCCAAACCTATGCTGAAGGGCACGGACTATCTCGTCGTCACTTTGAGGATTTTCTTCTTAGTTTCCTTGACTTAATGCCCCTTGTGATTTTGCACTTTTGGTTGAAGTCATTGTTGTAGCATGGTGCGTTTCTTGATGCAAGTCTTTCGAGATGATGCTTATAATGAAAGTTGAAGCTACTACGTCATCCGAGTTATGAAATATATTGTTTTCTTCTTCGGACTCACTTTCCACATCTTTCGGAGTCATTCTTATCTGATTGTACCCAAAGTAACAATCCATGAACGAGAGAGCTTTATGCCCCGTGGTTGCATCTACAATAAGCTCGGGGATGGGAAGAGGAAAATCATCTTTTGGGCATGCCTCATTCAAAGCACGAAAGTCCACACAGATTTGAATCTGTCCATTTTTCTTCTTCACTAGAACAATGCTCGAAATCCATGTTGGATATTTGACCTCACGAATAAAGCCCACTTCAATTAATTTGTTAAATTCTTCCTCTATCCTCGGAACTAGCTCTGGATGGAAGAAACGTTTAGATTGCTTAATCGGACGTGTCCCATGTTTGACAGCAAGATTGTGCACTGCAATTTTAGGGTCAAGACCGGGCATCTCTTTGTATGTCAAAGTAAAGACATCCTTGTGCTCAGACAACAATTAAAAGTAATCATTTTCTTCTGAGGGGCTTAGGAATGCACTAACGAAAACTGGTCTGGGTTGATCATCAGTCCCTAAGTTGATTTCCTTGAGTTGATCAACGGTAGCCTGCCCCCTGTCTTCCAGCGTTGGTGGAGCTTTCTCGATTTCATCTGATTGTTCAAAGTCAGGTTCCTCTTCAACAGTGATGTGGTATGAAGTAACACAAGATGATTCGCCAGTGCCTTCTGTTCTATTCACTTCTTCTGATTGATTAGTGCATACAATGGTTCGCCTTTGAACTTTTAGTGTAACATCATTGGTGACATCTATCTCTGTCTTACATTTCATTCGCAAAGGCACCAGGCTCCGAACTTACTATTGTTCACCATGTCGATGTTAGCTTTCTCTGACTTTCCACTCTTGTTACTTCTTAGTGGTACAGCAATAATAGTACCAATTTGAGAAAATACTAACATTCGAGATTGAGGTTGTGGAGATTTTCTTCCTTGGTCATGAAAGCTTATTCTGTTAAAAATAGAGGTACGAGGCAAACTGCTGACTTGAAAATCTGAAACATTTGACCTTTGGCTTGACAACTTGTTGAATACAGATATTCGATCACATGGAGCTCCACTACGGTCGAAGACTGATTTTTGATGCATAGTCTGTTGGTCTTGTTCATCCTTTAACTTCTTCAAACCCAATGTAAAAAGTGTTTGACTTCTTATCCTTCTTTGTGATTTGAATTCGAAGTAGCTCAGAAGCTACGAAACCGAGACCGGACTTGGGAGGAATGATCTTATGCCCTTGTTCTTTCAACTTCTTCTGTATCTCATTGAGGCCACGCACTTTCTCACCGGTAACCTCAGAATTCAGTTTTCCAAGGCTTGCAGGATTTGTAAAATCATACCCCTACTTAGCCATGAGTTGGTATGATTTAGGATCGAATCCTTCATCAGTCCTTTGTTTTGGAAGTGATCCATGATCAACCAGAGATTGAGAAGGCTGCACGAACCCTTTTAACGGAGGCTTGGAAGGTGAAGACTTTTGAATCTTGGTGAGATGAAGAGTTAATTCTCCTTGCAGCTTTTGCATATCTTCTTTTTCTTTGGTTTGTGATATCTTTAATTTAAATTCCTTGGTTTCGAGTATCTCGATGACAGGTGACTGCCCTTCTTGTCGTTGAGATTTTAGAACATACTTTAAAATAGGTTTCGTCCGATGTGTTTTTATCAAGACCCCTCGCGTTTTAGCTACCTTAACAATGTCTGTCACTGAAACATCTAATGGATCACTTAATGCTTCTTTTGTTTTTGTAGATTCGACCTCTTGTGTAGACAAATGGCTTAGGATGGGCACTTCCGAAGGTGTATTAGGATCGATATAGAACTTGGCATCAGCAAAATGAGACTCTGATCTGTAAATGGTTTATGGTCCGCCACAACCGTTTGTACGCCATTCTTATAGAATTTAAAGCACTGATGAAAAGTCGATGGAATGACGCCATTACTATGTATCCAAGGCCTTCCCAACAACAAATTATAGGACGTCTTTACATCAATAACATGGAATAAGGTTTCAGCTTGGAGCTCGCCAATAGTTAGCTCCGCCCGAATCGTGCCAATAGCTCTCTGTCCTCCTTGGTTAAAACCTTGAATAATAAGACGGCTACGAGATAACTCATAGACTGTGATGCTGAGATTTTTCATCGTAAATTTTGGCATGAGATTCACCACTGATCCACCATCAACAAGAATTCGAGTAACTTTTTGTTCTTTTATGTAACCGGAAACGAAGAGAGGACAATTACGCGGCTTCGAACCCAACTGAAAAGGTCAATGAAAATAATTGGTGCATAACATGAATCAAGTGTACCTCCTACTACTTCATCATCATTGGACTTTTCAATGATGGCTGCATCCTTTACATGGTTCTCCACAATCTGGGCTTCATCTTGATCCTCGTTATTCTCATCATCAAGGCTCGTTTTCCCAGTTGAAACCATGTAAGTTGGCACAACTTCATCATCTAAATATCCTTTTGGAAAGAACTATTGCAAAGTAATGGGCTTCTGGATCCCTTTACTCATAGAAGCGTGTTTGGATGACTGTGTCTTCTTAACCCATTTTCTATTATGGCCATACTGTCTATAGCAATATTGAGGTTTCTTCTTCCTTTGCCCCCTGTCAGAATAACTAGTTTGAAAAATGTCAGCTCATTGCTTCCGTGGTTTCTTTCTTATCACCAAAGTCTATCCTTCTTTATCATCCTGAGAAAAACTTTTCCAAATGTTGAAACGTTAAGTACACTTCCTTAGCCAAGATAGATAGGGATTGGTTCGAATGAGCCAAACTGGATGGTTCTGCAATATACCTCAGAATTTGAAGATTGAGCACGAGCACTCCCTATGACAGAGGTTGTCAACGTAGCAGTAGTATGATTTGAAGTTACAACTTGGTCTATGTCCAACAAGATTTTTCCTTGTTTTGCCAGATTCATCACCACCTCCTTGAAGATAAAACACTTCTCAATTGGATGACTAACAATATGATGATATTTACAGTATTTTGGGTCGTTAATATGTCCCATCTCTTAAGGGCATTTGCATTCAGGGAGTTCTATAACTTTACCTTCGAGTAAACATTCCAATATGCCAGGGACATTGGAATCGGGGAAGGGATATTCCTTCTTCTCTAACTCCTTTAATGTAGGACGCTGTTTTTCCCTCTCTTGAAACTGGCGAGGCTTTTTTATCATCCTTCTTCTCATCTTTAACAAATATCTTGATTGGGGTGGTTAAGATAGCCATGGAATCTTTAGCAGCAGTCATTGACGACTTGTTGTCCTTCTTCCAGTCCTTCTTGTCTTTGCGTGGTTCTATGGTCACTGGACCTTTGTCGTTATGGGATTTTATACTGATCTCTATGTCATGGGCACGCATAGCCAATTCTTCGAATGTGCGAGGTTTTATGCCTTGGAGAATGTAAAGAAGGCCCCAATACATTCCCTGCATACACATCTCCACAGCCGAGATTTCTGATAATCTATCCTTACAGTCAAGACTGAGTGCTTGCCACCGATTAATGTAATCGATTACAAGCTCATCCTTCCATTGCTTCGTGTTAGTCAATTCTATCATACTAACAGTACGACAAGTACTACAGAACCTATTCAAGAATTCTCGTTCCATTTGGTCTCAACTATCAATTGATTCTAACTTTAGGTCGGTGTACCACTTGAACGCGTTTCCTTTAAGGGAGCGGACAAACTGTTTAACTAGTAAGTCCCCATCAGTTCCAACATTGTTGCAAGTCTCAACAAAATGGGCAATGTGTTGCTTAGGGTTGCCTTTTTCGTCAAATTGCTGAATCTTCGGAGGTTGATATCCTACATGCATCCTCGTACTATCGATTCTCCTTGTATAGGGCTTTGAGTACATGAGAGTGCTCTGTGAGACACCTCCGTATTGGGCTCGAATTGTATTCGTTATCATATCTTACAATTGTTCAACAGATAATGAAGAGACTGACGAAGTATGATTGGTTTGACCAGTCGTCTATTCTGTTACCGGCGTCTATTTGGGGTCCTGCGAGTACCTTGTGCGGTAGAATTAGGATTCTTTGTCAGCACTGCTGTGGAAGATGTAGGATTCCCAAACTGTGGTGGTGTGAAAGTTGCACGATTCCCAGATGGCGGTGCTGTGGAAGTTGTAGGATGCCCAGATTATACTGGTGATTCACCGAAGGTCTGAACTTCCAATTTGTTCATCAGTGTAACAATTTGCAAGTCCTTCTCTTCAACAGTCTTTGTGAGGTTCTCAATGGCACGACACATAGTTGCTAGTTGTTCCTCCACCATGGCAGCTCCAGTCATCATAGCAGCGACCACATCTGAGTATGATAGGCCTTGAGAGTCAATGTTCTTTAAAGTGATTGATTGCTCCGAAGTCTGACGTGCTGACTCTGGGGGTGAACCGACACTAGAGTGAGCATCATGACGTAATGAGGTAAATCTGGTGGCGGAATCTCCTTTGGAACAACGTCAAGGTTCTTGACATGTTGAGTTTTCACGTTCGCCGGCTTTGCGGGAGGTTTTCACCAAGTCTTGCTGATGTTTGGATGACGCCATCGCCTGGGACTTGCTATGTGTCACAGGGCCCGCCAAGGTACTTCCATCACTTGATTTGGCCTTCCTGCCACTTTTCATGGTGGCTTTGGCGTCGACCTTTGCAATAGTAATGTTCTTTTGGGCTTTCTTATCTGTCGGAGTCTTAAGGGGAGCCATAGAATCTGATAGAAAAGAAACTTGATGGTAGGAGAAAAAGATGAGAGGCAAAGGAGGTCCCACCAGGCGTGCCAGAAATTTGTACAGACAAATTTTGTAGTCTGTATTAAAAAAAAAAAAACAAAATAGAGAGCAAATGGAATTTTATTAATTTATAAACAATTGGAGTACAATCCTTTGTAATATTATTTACAAAAAGAATGGTCCTTTGATTCGATCTCCTTTTTTTGGTTGGTTGGATCCAAGGGCTGCACGAGCTTGTTCTTGAATCACCGTGGAATTTGATGAAGATCGGCACGTCGTTGGATGTGTTTTTTGTTGATCACCGTGGAATTTGATGAAGAATGGCACGTCGTTGGATGTGCTTGTTGTTGATCACTGTGGAATTTGATGAAGAATGGCACGTCGTTGGATGTGCTTGGTGTTCTTCGCTTTTGGGTTTGGATGTTGGGGATGAGAATTTCTGTATTTCTCTCTGGAATTCTAGATTTCTGAATTCTCAATTTCTGTCTACCTTCCTTCTTCCTCCAGGCCTCTATTTATAGGCTTCTTGGATTAATAGGATGATGACACATGTCTTCCCCAGATAAGGATAAAATTATAACTAGATTGGGCTGATTATATTATAATAATTATCCTTCAAAATAATTATTCCAAATATATTTTATTAGGAAAAATTATCTTTTCATTTAATCATCTGGGCTGGGCTAATTAAATAATTTAAGTAGGCCAAGGTAGGCCAATTAAATAATTTAATTAAACATTAAACCCATTTTTAATGGGTCCATTTGTCAAAACCAAAGCCCACTAAAATTTTAGTGTCTGGTACTTGGACCTTGGATTTAACCATTTAGAAACTCCATATTGGTCAAAATCCTCAGGCATGCCCATGTTGACTCATCTTTACTTTAATTCCAATCAACTAACCTCTTAATTTCCAGATTTCATACTCCGTTGCCCCAACCTCACTTTTCTTTATTTGTCAAGGAACCATTTCACTGGCGTAATCCCTGAGCTGTTATTCACCTATCTTGCCAAGCTTGAATATCTTAATCTCTACAATAATTCATATCAAGGGTTATTGTCATCAAATATTTCAAAGCTTTTGAAGCTCAAAGTTCTTGCTCTGGTCACAACCAGTTTGTCGGTTCAATTCCTGAGCTGGTATTCACCAATCTTGCAAAGCTTGAATATCTTACTCTTTCCAGTAATTCATTTCAAGGGTTATTGTCATCAAATATTTCAAAGCTTTTGAAGCTCAAAGATCTTGGTCTGGGTAACAACCAGTTTGTCGGTTCAATTCCTGAGGAGATTGGACTACTTTCAGATCTTCAATTTATTTCCCTGGCTAACAATTCATTCCAAGGAAAGATTCCTTCTTCCATAGGTCAACTCAGAAAGCTTCAAATGCTTGATTTACAAATGAATGACTTGAATTCTACAGTTCCTTCTCAACTTGGCTTATGCACTGAGCTCACATTCTTGAGTCTTTCTATGAATTCACTTACCGGACCCTTACCTTTGTCCCTGTCAAATCTGTCCAACATATCTCTATTTTCCATATCCCATAATTTTCTTTCCAGCGAGATCTCACCTTATTTTGTCACCAATTGGACTGACTTTGCAATATTTAGACTTTCAAAAAAATTCCATCACTGGTAAAATTCCACCTGAAAAAATTGGAGTCTGAAAAAATTGTCATATTTGGACCTTTCGGCAAACCAACTCTTAGGTCCAATTCCTCCAACAATTTGGAATCTCACAAACCTCGAATCCTTGAACCTCTTTGACAACTATCTGAATGGAACAATTACACCTCAAATTGGGAATTTGAAACTACTGACTGCTTTTGATCTGAGCAAAAACCAATTAAATGGTGAAATACCACCTACCATTTGCAACTTGAGTTCCCTTGTGGTTCTTAATCTATCTAATAACAGCTTCATCAATACGATTCCACAATGTCTGGGAAACTTTAGCCATGAACTCTCTGTGCTAGATCTGCGGATGAATCGCTTTCGTGGGACTGTTCCTGCAAATTTCTCAAAGTGCAATAATTGAGAAATCTCGGGTTGGGTGGAAATCACTTGGAAGGGCCGGTGCCACGAAGTTTGGTCAATTGTAGACAGTTGGAAGTTGTTGATCTGGCCAACAACAACATAAGTTGTTGATCTCGTCCTGCGATCTAACAGATTTGGAGGTGCAATAGATACTTCCACCTGTAAACTGCCCTTTCCTAAGTTGCGAATAATCGACCTCTCTCACAATGAGTTCACCGGCCCCTTGCCTGCAGAATATTTCAAGAATTTCAAAGCTGTGATGAATGTTGATGAACATAAAGTGGGTCGTGAATGCATGGGGGAGAAGAACAATTATTATCGAGATTCAGTGAAGGTGGTGGTGAAAGGGCTAGAGCTTGAACGTACGAGAATCCTAACCATCTTCACAACTATTGATTTATCAGGAAACAATTTTCAAGGGGAGATTCCTGACTTCATTGGAATGCTTCATCGCTTCGGTTGCTCAACTTATCTCACAACAGTCTTGCAGGACAGATTCCATCTTCTCTAAGAAATTTGACTCTGCTTGAATCGTTAGACCTCTCTTCAAACCAGTTAGTGAGGGAGATTCCTTGGCAACTGACAAGCCTAACATTTCTTTCAATCTTGAACCTTTCTCAAAATCATCTGACCAATACCTCATGGTCAACAATTTGATACATTTGAAAACAATTCATACTCTGGAAACCGGGCATTGTGCGGTTTGCCATTGACAAAGAAATGTGGAGACGATGAATCACTGCAGCCATCAACATTGGCACATCAAGAAGTTGATTCAGATTTTGCCAGTGGATTTACCTGGAAAATTGTCGTGATGGGGTATGGATGTGGGTTCTTCTTTGGATTGAGTATGGGTTGTGTTGCCTTCTTAGCTGAAAAACCAACCTGGTTTGTAAACATCATTGAAGGAAAACAACACAAACAGGAAGGAAGAAGAGCGGTCAAGGACGTGATAGGAATAGAGCTCAGCGAACACAACAAATCAACTAGCGCTGGTAATGCATCTTTGTTGATCCAATTTGTTACTACTTAGTTGTTTTATGCTGCTTTTTAAATTACTAATGGTAGTTTAAATTAATAATTGTGGAATATTTGGAAATTTCCTTTTTTTTTTTTTTATTTCCTTTCTATTTCAATAATGTATTTTGCCTCTTTCGTTTCGAAATTTTGTTCTTTTGCCTCGTTAACAATTATCTATTCTAAAAATTTAAGCTGTTTAAAATAGTGTAACTTAAATATTTTAATCCTTCAACAAGCCTATAGCATGTTTTGAACCTTAATTGATCTATTTTCTTGTTATAATTCATGATGAAAAATATGTATATATATACTTGAAAAAATCAGTAAAGATTGATTGATAAAGTTTCCATTTAAGTTGTGCAAGATTGATTGAGACTCACATACGAGGCTTGACTTGGCACATGTGAACGTAAAAAAACATTTTTGGACCGACTTTTTGTCTTAAAAAATAAAGTCCAGTCCCATGAACAATAAGAACCACATATTGATACATGACCAATCTGACTCTCTATTTGGTTCACATATTGGGTCCTTGTATCATGCAAAAAGTGGTTCCGAACTCTTTCTACTCACGCAATTACAAGGCAATGATAACTCATACTTTTTACAAACAATATTGCCTTACAGAGGCATGGAAATTTCTACGAAATTACACAAAGGCACACAAGTGTGCCCGGAGAGAGATGTTAAGTGCAATGGCAAGTAATCAAAGTCTTCGTATCTGTGAGTCGTGTATGAAATTGGGAGTGCCGACTAAATCAAGTCACATTGAGTGTGTTTTTTAAATTTCTAATGGAATAAAATTTTCTGTTCATTATTCAATTTGAGTCAATTTTTTCTCTCTTTCCATTTTCTGGGACTTTAAGATACCACTCAGAGACTTTAAGATACCACTCAGAATCAACGTAAAACAATGTGTTTACATAAGTTTTTAAATATTCCTATTTTGGAATGTCTAGATTTATTTTGAAAATTTTGGGGTCAATGGAAATACTTAATTACTTTTGAAGTTTTTGGAACAAATTGTGCATATGAACATCAAAGACATAGTAATTAGGGATGGCAACGGGATGGGACTCTGCCCCGCTTTCGTTTAATTTAGTACAATAAATTAAATTATGATAAATAAAAAGAGGTGAGCGGACTGGTAATGCTTCTATAAGGTACCATTAGTAACCGTGATGTTATTCAGACCTAATAGTCCTAATACTCTGGCCGTGATGTTATTCAGACCTAATAGTCCTAATACTCTGGCGTCCCTCAGTTAGGATACTGGGAAAAACTATCAAGCCTGAGAATCACACTATCCTTGCTCAAAACTCCGAAACTGAGTAAGGATTGGAGTAGCAATTTTTTAAAAAAATCAGAGATTCTAAATCAGAACACGTTCTATTCTGAATTACATTTTCTTATAACATTCTAAATCAGTCTCTGTTTGTGCAAAATAAGGGTTTGGGTTATAGATGATAACAAAAACATCATTTTATCAACTTTTAAGAGAACAAAGAAGATCAAAAGAGAGAACTAATTTTGACAAAAGCTTATATGAGAACTACTTGGACCACCAGGCATTAGCCTGAGTTGATACATAGCGTATCCACCTGGAAGCACTTATCAAACAGTTGTGAAACTCTCCATTAGACAATACAGAGATGGTCAAGAACCAAATATATACTAAATGAATTGTTGCAAACCTGCTCAGAACACAGGAAAGAAAGTAAAATTTGATAACCTTATATATATATATATATATATATTTGGAAATTTTTGAATAATTCTTTCTTTTTCCAAGATTTTCCTCTATCTCAAACAAAGAATTGGGATATTCCCCACACTTTTTTCTCTCTCATCATAAACAACAAATTGAAGAGCATATAATCAGCAAACAGAAACCAAAACAAATATATATCTCTTTTGTTGGGAGAGTTAAAAAGACGGTATCATCCAAGCAAAGTGCACCAGTAAGGGCTTACAGGACAAACACGCCAAGCCATATTTTCCATCTTGCCATGGAGGTCAGAGGAAGGAAAGAAAGCAATTACGCACCAGGCCGATTCTTCTGAAACAAAGCATTCAAAACCACCATTTATGGACTATTGTTACCTGAATAGTGATGAAGTATCGGTCAGCAATATAACCTTTCCTTTGCAAATGGTGCTTTTGGTATTCCCAATTAGAGGTTCACCGTAGGACTTCAGAGTGCAGCTCGCTTCAATTGTGCAATGGTAAGCATATAGCCTTCCAGACAATTGCGTATCAGAGCTACATGACCAGGCTTCAAATTTATCAATGATGAGGTTTGCAACCCTGATGAGTTTCATTCAAGGAGAATCGCTAGGAAACGATGTGTCTTCATTCAAAGACAAGCTCAAGGAAGCATTGCAAGCATCCATAGGCAGCTGCAGAGACACAACAGGCTCACCAGAGCTTAGTACTCCAAAAGCTAACTGCATATATACACCATAAATGTCAATACTACATTCAGTACCGGAACTGATAATGAGGCACTAAATTTAGGCGCATGCAGCTCACAGGTAAAAGATCGGAACCTGACTTTTAAAGTTTTCACGTATAATAGATTCAGGGTAAAAGATCAGGAGGATCAATTTTCTAGGACAACATCACATCTTACATCTAGAAGACTTGCAAAACCATAAGTCGTGCAATGCTATTACCTAAAACTATGTAACCCTTATTTTATTTTATTTTCTCAAATTATAATCTCGAGTGACCTCGTGTGATAATATGATAATTTGCATTCCACTAGTTATTTTTCTGTCCGGCTGTGGTTACTTCCGAGGCTTAGATTCAAAAAATTCCCTTCCATGATAATGTTAAAAATAAATAAAAAGAAGAAGAAAAAGATAAAACAGGTATGTTGGTTCTCCATTTTACATGGTGATTTTAGAGAGGAAACGACATCAATTAGAATCTAATATGGAAATCCTAAATTTTAAATAAAAAGAACACCACTTTGGCATGTATAGTTAGAATAAAGTGTTACCCAAGAGGACTGTAATGCATCTCCTGACTACTATCAAGCCAACCTCCACATTAAACTTACCTCCTTGAACTCAAAAGGGTGCCTCAAGTGATTCATCCCAAACTTCTGCACTTCCATTAGATACATCTTCACCGTCTTCTTCCATCGAAAGCCTAATATATTCTCTATGTGCAAAGCGATCCCACTCTGTCAAAGTTGGATCTTCTCGTTCCTGCTTATAAAACAAATGCCAATGACTGTTATATTTCCAGATATATAACCATCCATGTTGCAACTCACAATGTGTGGCCATGCAAAATCTACAGGACACTAATAAAATGTCTAATGTACCTGGCGAATGAGAAATGGATCACGAGTTTCAAAAGCCATGAATTTATTAAGATTGAAAAGAATATTGAAAGCATTTCCTGAAAGTTTGCATCCTTTCAAGTCATGCAGCGTGATGTAATCTTCCCTCTGCAAGCAAGATGGTGTCATTGCCAGTGGAGGGATAATATCTAAACAGAATGAAAGAGAAGTATTTTGAAGGTAATCATTAAAAAAGTAATTTTCAACCTCTGGTGAGATCATATCAACTATCTGACACAATATGTCCTCAAACAGAACAGGTTCTTGGGCCATGCATTCCATTCGATGCAACTGTTCCTCGTAAAAGAATTGCATCTCAGTGGATGTGAGAACCCCATTTCCATCCAAATCTATGCACTTAAACCTGAAAAAAAAAATAAGAACTCGTGAAATGGGTGAAGCATGACTGACAACAGAAGAAATTAATATAGTGCATGAAAAGTTAGGCTGTCCAAGTGCCAGACTCCAGGGAACACCAAGCAGAACCAATAGCTTCACCAGCTTCACCACAAGTTTCTGGCTCGTGCTTCCTAGATAGAAAATATGGTAAATCACTATAAAAATAGAAACTGAAAATCATCGATTTCTATTGATTATTTTCTGCGATGGCACTTCATTACTGCTGCAGACAATTTAGGACACCAATATGTTTTCGAAAGCTCCATTTCATTTAAGGTTGAGGCAATTAGCGTGCAATAAGGCGTTTCCTGAATTCCTGAGACTCTTTTTCAACAGAAAGACTTCCATGAAATTATTTTAGGCAGTTTCTTTTTCCAGATGGGTACCTTCATCTCGATGAGCATCTCAGAATGAAGTTCCATTTGGAGACTGAATAACAAGTTCCATCAGCTTCAGTTAGCTTCCAAAAAATACATCTTTTCATACCCAAATCTTTTGAAGGATAAAAGGAAAAAAATAAAAATAAAAAATTGAAATGAAGACCACTATATACTGTTGGTCTCTTTTAAGTGCATTTTATAACAAAACAATCTAAAAGATGGAACTGATAATTGGTATCAGAGCAATCTTTATTACAAGCATGGTATCTGCTGCTGCACCAACATAAATGTCATACATGCCGTAGATGGGGACCGTCATCAAGAAGGTCCATAGTGCTCCCAAATTTTTGGAAGCCAATTTGATACGCCAGAAGTGTTTATAGAAGTTCTGCTCATAATTTTCAGTAAAAAGGTATCCAAGTAATTTTACATATCAAGGCCTATGTTCCATGGCTGCAGGTCCGTGTAATACGGGCTGCAGATCTGTGTATAAAAGTTGGACCTCTCCCTCCCTGACATGGGCACGTCTTGCACATTTAAAGACATAATATGCTACATAATAGGTTAACACATGATGCCATTACTCTTTCAAAATATACATAATTATAATTATAATTAAATGGAATATAGTGAAAAAGGGATCCCATCTATCTCATAAATAAATTTAAAACAAACCCTTTCTTATTATCAAATGTAGTATTTTCTCCTTCCATTATCGCATGTAAAGGATACGGGTATTCAACTTGGGCACGTTTGTTGGACACGCGTGTTGACACAGATACTTTAAGGGAATAGAAGAGTCCATGCAACACAATTCGAGGCTGTCCAGCAACCAAGCTTGATTTACTTTTCCCCTTTTAGGTAGGCAATGTACCCAATTGTCCACTCAATGTTAGCCCAAAAGTCACTGCTAAACCAAGTACAACGATTATCCAAGCAAGTATGCCCCATCCCCTAAACTATGGATTACTAATCTCATACCTTTGACTACAATTAATTGCATCACTTTAAGAGTCAATGAGGTTTCATATATTGGAATTCATTAATTTTACCAACGGGCTAGTGGTCCAGCGATACCAGGTCCCTACTCCCTAAAGGGAAGTCAGGGGTTCGAGCCTCGGTGGAGGCATGTGTGTGAGTACCAACTATGAAAATAAAAAAGATTTATATGGAATGTTTCTGCAAGTAAGGATTTCATAGATTTTATATATAAAACGGCCCAACTAAAATAAATTATGGAATGTTTCTGCAAGTAAGGATTTCATAGATTGTATAAATAAAAAGGCCAAACTAAAATGAATTTAGAGATTGACAGACTGATTATTTTTGTAAAAGGTAATTTCCACTTATTCCCCTTGGGTTTTGTCAATATTCCACTGCACCACCATACCTTTCAAAATACGAAAGGACATTCCTTATCAGTGAAAGCCGTCGTATAACACAACAACTAAGGGTACACCAATAACTCTCTCAAACACACCAATAAAAGACAAACCTCATCCACCACTACATTATCCAACACCATTCGCAATTGTCTCCATCACTAAATTTTATTAGCTATGATATAATTAGTTTTAATGATCAATACGGCACAGGTGGTTATAAAGAATAGACCTGTAATGAAACTAATTGGCAATTGTCGAGTTAGAGAGAGAAAGTCATGAGGGGAGCCCTTTCGTCTTCATAATATTTGCACAATTTTCTCCCTCTTCTCCAAAACTTCTAACCAAGGTCCCCAGCCATGGATCCACATAACAAAAGTACCAAACCACCTTAGTCAATTGAAAAATGGAGAGACATTTCTTGGCCTATTCTCTCACTCTATATATTAAAATGCACTAATAAAAAATAATGAAAGTACTTTAGAGATTGAAAATGCAAAAAAATAGATAGGATCTTAGAGGGAGAAAAACAAATCGCAACAATAGAGAGCAAAGACCAAAATAAGAAACTAGCGAAGAAAGTTACAATTATAGGTAATCAAACTTGATGGTTAACACCATTATGTAGACATTTTCTCTTCTTTTTTTTATTCCACCATTTTTCCAAGGACAGGGAGGAAGATGTAACGCAGGTTAAGTGGTTGTGGCCAAATTCATGAGGTGATGTAGTTACTTGAATGTTGGCCAGGCCATCTGATCTAGAGAGAGATGAGAGATCAGAGGAAGACGATGTGTTGTTTGGGACAGGCTATTTATAGAAAAACAACAGGTATGTAATGGGTTGTTTCAATCTGGACAGCCATACAAAAAAAAAAAGCAACACTCACATCTCTATATCAAACCACCATCATCTGCAACTATTTCCTAGAATAAGAAAATGCCATCGCTCCACCTCAATACTCCAATGCACAACTCCCATTTTCATCATCAAGACCTCCTCCACCATCATGGCGAGGCTTCCTTTGGTACCATATTGAACTTAAGGGGAAAAAGAAGAAAGATTCAAAAAATCAAGATTCAAATACTGTAACTATTTAATCAACAAGACACTGAAAATGGTGACATTTGAACTTCACTTGAAGTTTCAATTAGATTGTGATAGAGAACAGTGGCAGCAGCCTTTTAAGGTATATAAAAGGCGCGGCAAGGAGGGTTCTAAGGCTCAAACCTTAATTTGGCACATGCTAGACGATGGGTCCACTTGGAGTCTTGCATAATTAGGGGGATTTGGTCAAATTGCATAATTATGGTAGCTTGCATCAATTTCGATCAAATTACATCCGTCCATAATAATTACTTTTATTATGCTAGAGTCAAATATTGATTACCTCAATTACGGGGTGATTACTTTTATTATGCTATAGAGTCAACTTTTGATTACCTCAATCATGGGGTAATCTGAGGGTCATAAGTTGCTATAAGAAGGGTATGATGTAAACTTGCCGAGGCAGTCAATGAATGAATAAAAATATCTTTTAAGATTTCTTTGTGAGTGATTCACAAATTCTGAGGGTGTGAGGCCTTCCCTAGGTGTGATGCCTAGACCCTATTGGAGTGATTCCAGTAGGTTTTTGTTGTTTTCAATCCTTTCTCTCTACTAATATTTTGAACCATAGCTCTGTTTATTTTAATTAACAACCACTTCTCCTTTGGTTTTCTACATTTCTACTATCAAACCTCCAAATTCTGCCCTAGTTCTTGAACTTTCAGACTCTGAATTCTTTGAGTTCTTAGCTAGTTAAGGCTGCTCTCTTGTCCTACATCAGATTGTCTACATGCATTGATGCCAAGGGAGAAAGATGTGGTGGCAAGTAGAATATTGCCAAACCTAAGGGATATATAGTTCATGAATGTCTTGCAGTTAAATTTGACTGTGATATCAAACAAACCTACGTAGATGTAGGCCTTTACTCCCTTTCCCACTTGAATATATTAAATATTTTTAAAAAAATTCTTCTAAAATGATATTCATATCCCTCTTCCCTATCACAAGCTGAACCTAAAGATTCAATTTCTTTGTTTAAAAACCATAATTCTCTATCCCTTATTCTAGTCTAACAAAAGTTTTATGCTCAACCAGTCAAGGACTCTAGAAATCTAGGTTGTTCTGCAAAACTAGATGTCTTCCCCAATTATTGTTTCCAGAAAAGTGCAGTCTAAATTGTACAGCAAGAGACTTCCTTGACAAAATTATATTGCTACAACACCCTTGCAATTTGTAAGATGTAGAGGAATATTAGCCTTCTACAAATAATATATGTAAAAAATAAAGTGAAGACAGAAAATTAGAGGGAATCATACCAATACTCAAGACTAGGTTCAGATGATTTATCCTCCTCGGCCAGAATGAAGTAAACAAAATCTTCATAGCACATCTTTCCTTCAATATTGCTAGTAAACTTCCTAGGAACCTGAAGGAATATGAAACAGAAACACAACAATGTAATAAAATTTAAATGTAAAGGTGTCCTCCACTTTAAAACAAGTTGGTCTACTCTGATTTTGTGTGTAAATTATCATATAACAAACCTGTAAAAATATTCTATCAACGATCCTGTAGGTAAGAGCATGATTACCATATCTGATGAGGTTCTCCTTGTCAATTAAGAAATCATGGTCCGTATCCAGTTCCCAAAACTTGCAGTATATAACATAGAAGTGTTCATAAGAGAAGTACCTGTAGTTAAAAGGGAAAACATTAGTGTGAAAATGACATCCATTAATAGTTCAAGACCACCTATTATAATAAAATATGCAAGGTTTCTCCATGTTATAGAGAGCAGTAATCAACCAATATTTCTAAAATAATGTTCAATGAATCAATATATATACTTTTATGCAATATAGATAAAGAGAGAAAAGGACCACCTTCGATGGGAGGACCTTGCAGCAAAATGCCAAAATCTATGCCCTCATTCTAAAGTCATAAGGCCATTATCCAGTGTTGGACCCAACTAGAAGGGATGGACTAAACATCGACGCAACTTTTGGCTATATTTTGAACAAAGTGGCTGCTTACATACTCTAACTAGCTTATCAAGCTCGATAGTACAAACTACAAACTTTTATCATCCTATCAAATAATGTCCCCTACCTATTTATGTCAAAGAGCTTGGGTCAACTTCAGCAAATTAGCTCAAAAAATACTAGGTTGAGTGATAAATCAACTCATCAAAGTCAATTCAAAAGATTGACCACATTTTGACCTGAGCCAAGGAAATTTAAGGAGTGATAAAATGAAACAAAAGATGATACGCTTATCCTGTGCTGTATTTAGATACAAAAACATGACCTCAACATATTATAAATCTAGCTGAATTGTTTCAATTCAAAATACCGAATTAACTCTTGATTTTTTTATTTTTCTTTTTTACGCTCCTTCGGAGTAAGTTTACAGGTTTTAAGAATACAGACTATTATTTATCATTTTTATCTGGACACTTTTACACTCTGGAACTACATGATAAAAACAAAATCATAATAAAGAGAACCTATTTAACTTGCTGCAAACTTCAAGAAGAGATTCGGGCGTAGGCCGGATACTCAACTCCGAGATCCCTTTCCGAGTAAGGGGTCGAAGCCGTAGGGCTTAGGGTTCACTCATGGATGCATGTATTTTTATGTATTATATTGTTCCAAGTACAAAAATAATCTAAGTCAGATTTCTGTGAGAACTTTCCTAATGCAAATCATGCAAATAATACCACATATATATCTACCTCAGAACTTTGTTAATGTCCTCTTCCTCATCTGCATGTTGCATTGCTGCAATTAAGTTTCCACGTTTCAGCTCCCTGAGTGTCAGATGGCCATCTCCAGATCTATTAATGTAGTAAAATATTCTGTATATGACAGTTTCAGCTGCACCATTGTTCATGTTCAAAGCAGATTAGTAACAGAATGTTGCATGTCAACCAACTTTCTAATTGTAAGTAAACAATGCAATACCATTAGATGATAATATCCAATATTCGGCTAGGACCCCGGTTCCACTTATGTAAAAGGGACGTGTTCCCCTTTTGAACGTCTTTTTATTTAATTCTTACTTATCAAAAAAAATAATATTCGGCTAAAACATGTCAAAATGGACCACCAAACAGTGCATGAAAAAATCAATTTGTATATGAAATAAACTCAAGATTTGTGCAAGAGATTTATTGGTTTGAAACAAACTCATTGAGTTCTTCTATTTTTTTTATTTTTTTTTTTTTTGATAACTAACAAACTCATTGAGTTCTTGAGTAAGAGAGGAAGCTCTGTTGCCACGATTTATGGAATGACTTACCATATTAGCAGAGATTTGATAGCCACAAATCATGGCATAGAATATGGTGTGATTTGATTTAGATTTTATTTAATTTCCTTTCTTGTAATATGATCATGTGCTTTTTTATATATAAATACTAAAGTTGTGAATGAATGATTTATCTCATTCAAGCCTTTACACAATTCTTTCCTCTTTTTATATTTCTACTTGATATCAGAGCCAGGGTGGTCCGACTGCAATGAGGGCATTGCGAGTTCGACACCACCCATTCGGGAATTGTCTAAGGTATCATCGCCCATCCAGGAGGTGTCGGGTAGGCAAGGTGGTCCAATCTCAATGAGGGTGTTGCGAGTTTGGCACCACCCATTCAGAAATGGTCTGAGGAGACAGTTGTTTCTTTTTATGGTCTGAGGAGACATTGTTGATTCTTTCATCTACATTGTTTAAACATGTGTATGAAGGGGAATGGTCTGAGGAGACATTGTTGATTCTTCCATCCACATGTTTTAAACATGTGTATGAAGGAAAATGGTCTGAGGAGATATTGTTAGTTGTTTACGGTCTGAGGAGACATGATTGGTTGTTTATGGTCTGAGGAGACATTGCTAATTGTTATGGTCTGAGGAGACATTTTTGATTTGTTGATCGACACTTCATCTGAGAGAAAATCATCACTAGTCAGATTTGCACTCTGCAACTTGTAGATTCTGAAGAAGGGTGCTAACAAGACCGTATTTGAAGATGCATTGTCCAAGTTAAGCGTCTCAAATATCCACGCACCAACTTGAGGGAGAGTGTTAGCAGATATGATTGCCACGATTTATGGAATGACTTACCATATTAGTAGAGATTTGATAGCCACAAATCATGGCATAGAATATGCAATAATATATGTTGTGATTTAATTTAGATTTGATTTAATTTTCTTTCTTGCAATATGAGCATGTGCTTTTTTATCTATAAATACTAAAGTTGTGAATGAGTGATTTTCTCATTCAAGTCTTTACACAATTCTCTCCTTTTTCTTCCTTTTATATTTCTACTAGCTCGAAGTCGATGGCTTACAGCAATGTTTTGAAAGCACAAATTTGCCGCTTTCTCGGTTACATACCATAGTAAAATAACAAACCAAAAAGAAAAAATAAAGAAGGGATGTAAAAAATATTGGAATCATACTAGTTAAGAAGAGGAATAGAATGGCGTAAATTAGTTGATTATTGGAAGTACACTTAGAGCCAAACGAGAAGAAAGCCTTCACATCAATTTGGACATTTCAAATGGTCTTGATCTTGATTTACAATACTACTTGAGCCTCAGATTCTAACTTATCAAAAAGAAACAAAAGAAGAACATTATTGACTCGGAATCCCACAATTCCTACGATCTTATAGGAATTCCACAAGGATTCAATTTTCTGTAATTCTTTGTGGGAGAGGGACCGTTTCAATACTTTTAGATCTTAAGATCATAGGACCTGGTATGGGATTTCAACAACCATGTCTTAGCATCATTTTGATGGATCTGATTGGGGGTCTCTGTATTTGTCTGTGAAACATTGACACCCTAAACAACGAAAAGTTCCTCAAGGCATGGTCCTAGTCCAGGGATGTTGTGCAGGGCAAATAGTGGTTGCATGAGTTTAAACTGCAAAACTGATAATGCAGGCTTCTTGCCTGTCAATGGGTGTAATATTTCAGCTAAAGTTTGTGATAGGCACCTCCCCTGCCCCCCCTAAAGAATTCGACATGCGCTTTATTCAGAAAACTGGTCTCTAGTAGTAGGACTAGGGCATATTAATTCCAGTCCTACTTCCTACAACCCTCTAAAGCAAACCAACCCACTGAGATGTTCGGGTTACATGTCAACCTGTCCAACTAGCTTGTTCAGATGAGGTATTAAACCAAACTCAGGCACGGACCTGCTCATATTTTTTAAGTATTTACCTTACTATTTTCTATATTTTGATATATATACCTATAAAATTTCACTATTGCCCCCCCTGTAAGCTTCTCCATAAGCAAATAGTGGTTGCATGAGTTTAAACTGCAAAACTGACAGTGCAGGCTTCTTGCCTGTCAATGGGTGTAATATTTCAGCTAAAGTTTGTCATAGGCACCTCCCCTGCCTCCCCTAAAGAATTTGACATGTGCTTTATTCAGAAAACTGGTCTCTAGTAGTAGGACTAGGGCATATTAATTCCAGTCCTACTTCCTAAAACCCTCTAAAGCAAACCAACCCACTGAGATGTTCAGGTTACATGTCAACCTGTCCAACTAGCTTGTTCAGGTGAGGTATTAAACCAAACTCAGGCACGGACCTACTCATATTTTTAAGTATTTACCTTACTATTTTCTATATTTGGATATATATACCTATAAAATTTCACTATTGCCCCACACCCCCCGACCCCCACCCCAACCAAAAAAAAAAAATTCTGGGTCCATCCCTGACCAAACTTCTATCTTTGTGCTGAAATGAACCCTAAAGAAGGATTGGGGGTTTCCGGACCAGCATTGTCCAAGTAGAACTAAATCAAAAAGAGCATGACAACTGTTTAAGAGCATACCATATCTTTCTTGAAATTCAGGTGTGCTCTGCAAGAATTCCAACCCTGGATGGACAGCCAGAAGATCCAGAAGAACAGGCTTAAAGTCGGCCTGCATTCAAGGTCCAGAGATGTAAACATAGAATGCAGTAATAAACTAACAGGTGAAGCCACTAGCATATGCCAAACACAAATGCATTAAAAATTACATTCAGTTACCATAGATACAGTTACTTTGTAAGTCACATGTGCAAAAAAAAAAAAAAAAAAAAAGTTGAAGCAACAAATATCACAGTTCATAAAAAGCAAAAAACAAACCTGAGTAAGGTATTTGCAGTCCGGTTGCTTCAGAATTTTGAATATTTGTGTTGCTATATCCATAGATACCATATTGCTATCAAGCCAATAATTGATGAATGCATCCCTACAATCATACAAGGAAGCTCAGCACACTAGCTATTGTTAAACTTTAAGGAGAAATTACTCAAAAAAATCTTATATGGAATTCATAAATAGGTCAACCCTGACTCTGCAAAACCAGCAACTACGTCTTTTAAAACGAAGTCGAATCACACCTCTTCACATCTATCAACCTTGCAACCATTCTCCATTTTAAACCCCAAAAATCACCAAATTTCCGATTACCAAAGCCCGCCATAAACATATTCTTATACAACCTTGGAGTTTCCAAAACACCACGTTAATTGTTAAAGGCTCAAGGGCACTAAGGCGCCAAAGGTCTTTAAGAGCCTAAGAGCAAGGCGCCACATAAGGCGTGAGCCTGATTGAAGTAAGGCTAGAGTGTGATCATAATGCATATTAATTATAAGTATATAAAGCATAATTAAATTATGCAACATCTACTTGTCAATATCAAAATAAATAATATTTTCAGTATATCAATTCAATAAATTAGCTTAATCACCATACATATATCTTTTCTATTTGTATATAAATTCAATAAAATCAATGTACAATAAGAACAATTCAACATATGCTACACAAATAAAAAAAAAATTCTTTAAAAATGGAATTTTTGATATATCAACTAAGAGGATAAGGTAAATTAATGCTCATCAATCATTTCATATGCATATGAATTAACCAAATTAAATGTAATTATAACTATGAAACAATTGAAAACTATAATTATGCAAAAGTTTAAACAAATATTATCATAAATAATCATAATCAAGCACTAAATGCTATTAATGTTAAGTAATGAACCATTAAAATATGGATTTTGTCAAATATTTCATAATGTTGACAATATGATCCATTAAATATGATCATGATATGATAAAAGATATAGAACATTCTAATTTAGTACATTTGATTTTTAAAAAAAATTCAAGAAAAATGATATCAATAAATCATTAAAAAATAAAATGTGTGCTTCTTTTGAGCCTGGAAACCTACTAAAAAGTGTGGGCCTAAGGGCTTTATGCGAGCCTGACTGAAGGGGTGTGGCCTGTACTAGGTTGAGGCGCTCTAGCTGAGCCTTGATGAGCCTAGGGATTTTTGGGAGCCTAGGCACGCCTTTAACAACTATGAACACCACTTTTAAGTATTGTGAAAATAGTCTTTCAATCTGCTGACTTTTCAACTGAGAGGGTTGTAACTTACCAAACCTGCGTTGACACACGTCTGTGAAGACAGCTGACTGGCCTATAGTGGGTAAATTTAGGTTCACGTCCTTCAAGTAAATGTAAATAACCATAGGCAGAACCAAAGAGTGCTTAAAACATAAAAATAGAATCTTAAGAGAAATTAAGGCAGTATCTAGCAAATAATCTGGAGTGCTGGACCTTATACAATTCAACTAACATGAATGTGCGTTCATCCCCACCTACCAAAATGGAATGACTGTTCATATTAAAGTCCAATATGTAGTAATATGCCAGAATGCCCTGTACTTTGGGACCAATATTGCATAATACAATACAATCTGGAAAGCATAACCAATCATACAAATTTTACATCATCAAGCGGTATTTCTAAGAACAAAATATAGGATCAGTAATCAATGTAATGAACTGATTCCGCTACATTATTGTCCTGGTCACATAAATAATCACACTCAATGAGGAAAATATACTATTAGCTGTCAAACACTGCGAGATGGCATTCAATTCACACAAGAAACATTTGTCATGTATAACAGCTGATATAAAAATCCGATCCATTCATCTCTGTCACTCTCCATTTCATCTCAAAATCTAGTATATAAACCTTGTAGAAACCAATAAACCAAAGTTCACAGGTTCATAGGGTTAGTTTAAAAAACTGAAACAGGCAAACTCTGCAATGAAATATTCACTGGAAAGTTCTACACGCAAATAACTACTTTTCTAATGTTATTATGATTATCACCACACACAAGAAAACTTAAACAGCAAGCAGTCCCAAGTAAGAAAGCTGTAATAGATTGTGATTCTTCAAAGATGCACTGCACCAATGCTCATAAAATAAGATACATCAAGGGCGAGGGGGCGAGGGAGAGTGGTGATGACCTCCAAACATTGGAAGTCATATAAGAGTAAATTCAATTTATCACATAAAATATAGAAAAATCATTCTAGTGGGCCATCAAATGAATTAATTGTACCATAAATTGCATTAATAGTATTAAGAAGTCAGATCCCAAATTCCCAAGAATTTTAGGACCATCTCTTGAATATCTATATAGAACTCTATGCCTATAACTGCATACCTGGTCACAATCCCTGTAAAGTCGCTGTCAATCTTTCTGAAAAGAGCAGAAGAAAGAAATGATGGTAGCTTACATATTTCCTTTGTAACTGTTCTAAAATCTGCATCGCCAAAAAACATATATTCATAGTTATGGGCCCCAGATCAGGGAAAGCAGCTGGGGGAAGAAGGGACATAACAACAAAAGAAGATGTAATAATAGAATCAGTAAAGGGATATGTAGCTCACCATGTACTTGCAATCCATCCATACTAGCACGAAAAATATGATTTATTCTAAAAAGACATTGTTCCTTTAGTTCTTTTGGCGGTGGACGACCATTTTGAAAATAGAACTGCAGGCAGATTAATACATAAATAATAAATTATGTAAGTGCTACAAAAGCCATTAGAAGTGAGCCAAACCTGAGGTATGACTTCTCGCACTGGTTCTCTGACCAATTTCAGTGGATAACGTAGCGAAGAGGGGCTGGTTCTCTGCTTTGTAGTGCGTGGAGAACCAGAGGCACTTCTTGGTGAAAGTGGAGGTGCACTTCCAGCAGGGAATATGGAAGGCAATGGATTACTCCCAACAGCATTCGAACTAGTAGAATTCCCAGTTGCATTAATAGGGGTGCCTGCTTTTGCATCATCAATTAAGGATTTCACCTGCAGCCATGCCAAAACAGAAGGCTCTTTCAGATAAGCTATATAAATCAGACACAAAAGAGGAATGACAATGGAGAAACTCAAGAAAGAAATGTAAAGAAATAAAATCTAGTATAGAAACCAGAGTGCAAATGGTAAACTTGCCCGAGAACAGGTTATCATCCAATACTTACGGATGAAACTGAAATTCATCAAAATCAGCAGATCTCAATTAAAATTATAACAATAAACATGTTGTCATAACAAATAGCGACAAAGAAATGCTCAGTTTATTAGAAAAATATTTACTTGCATGAGATGAGATGAACTATGTTCTTCGTACAACTTGATAAGAATTACTTCTAACAACACGATTGCAATAATTGAGACATTACTCCATCATTTATTATTTTCTAAGTACAGAACACTTCTACAAACGAATTGTGTCCATGTTGGACACTTATTCAATTGTTGAACACCAACACCTCTCGAACACTCATAAGACGTGTCCGACACATCTTGCACGTGTCCATGATATAAAGATACAATCTTAATTTCGAACACGACCAACACTTCCTAGTCACGTGCTATCTAAACTAACAAATCTTGAATGTCAGATAGAACTTTTTTTTAGCACGAAAGAAAATATATTTAAAGAAAAATCAGATTAAATGTTTCTATAATACATATCTATACAAAAAGGGGGGGAAAACACTAAAGATATAGGAATATTATTTTAAAAGAATGGGGATACATATCCATAAAGATATTTACGTACGTAAACAAACAAACACATGGATACAGATATATTTCATGTCTATGTTTTGCCTTAAATTATGGGATAGGGAATTATATACTATAATTTATAAGTCCAATTTTTCATGTTATAGTTATAAAGTAATTATTTATTGTATGTAATTATAAAGTGATTATTTATTGTATGTAATATATTTTCATTATGTCCTGCTTTTTACTTTTTTAAGATTTACCGTGTCAACATGATGTGTCGAGTCCGTGTCCCCGTCTATATTTTTGCTGCTTAGAATATTTTACAACTTTGATTGAATTGGCACTTTCTCATATTTAAACCAACTAACCTTTGCAACATTCATTTACTATACGTTCATGCAATCATATAAAAACCAAAATATGGAATGTGCTATGGTCCCTAATATACATTCTTTCAGTTTTCATAATTTTCAACATTTTCTAACATTATCACGACCCGTGCTCTAAACTAGAATTTAACAACACGTGTATTGAGAAGATCATAAGTAGAGGATTCTTTGTGAAAATGTTAGAACTGACGGTTCTAGATTTTCTGGTGCATACACAGATTGGAATAATTTACAATTCAATTTACTATCAACAATTTTTCTTTTTATAGTACAGGAATTTTTTCCATTATAAAAAATAATAAGAAAAAAAAAAAAAAAAGGGTCCAAGAGTAACACAGTGTATTCTCAACAGTTGCACACTAGTCTCTTCCAAACAAAACAAATCTATAGAAATCCAAGTCACTTACACAGTGTATTTTCAACAGTTGCACACTAGTCTCTTCCAAACAAAACAAATCTATAGAAATCCAAGTCACTTAAATAATAACTTATTAAGCTTATCTTCGCATCTTGCATCGCCTTTTGAATTGTTTCAAATTTTTCATGTCATAATCTCATGTTTCCAGAGATTTCAATTCCAAGTAGTCAAAACTGTTAGAAATTTAGAATCATTAAGAAATACTTTACTAATTTGCTCATTAGGATTCAACTTTGATGCACAAAAACGCCATGAATTTTTAACTTTAGAAGTGATATAGAACTAATAAAAACCTTAAAACCCTAATACTTGATGACTACTTGTGCGTTTTTCCAAGTGCAGAAAATTCAGTCTGCAAAAACAGCTCTCAACAAATCAGCTATAACCTTCTCTACAGAAGTCCAAATTTGATGTCGTTTGTTCTATTAGAAAGTAGACACAAAGAGCAGTCCAAGTTCCAATCATATATGGCTCAGAACCTAGTTCCTTCTGTATAGAGTTTGGCCGGACTTCAAAGTTGACCCAAAAATGCATTCTTTCTTCAAACCACTTCCTTTTCTATTGTTGATAGACACTAAGGTGTTGTTTGATAAAACTGAAAATTAAGTTCTGAAAATTTTAAGAACGGAATTTTAAGTTCTAAAGTTTTTAAGTGGTAATTAAAAAATTAATATCTTTTTGAATTTTCAGTGTTCAGCCTTCAATGATAAGTAATGTCTCTGTCGCTTAAAATTTTGCCCAATTTAAGTGACACTTACAATTTTTAGTGATATTCAAATTGTGTTATCAAGCGCACTTAATTTAATTAATGTTGAATCTGTCCAGAATTAAATGTTGAATTGAATTATCAAACAGCACTTTAGTGTGGTGTTTCATTTTACAAGAGCCTTACGAGAGGGTATGGTTTGGGACCTTATTTTCTTCTATTAAACCCTTCATTATGTGATCATTAACTCCAACTTCGTAATGGAGCATTAATCACCTACAGTAGTGGGAGAGTTTGTGACTCAAAGTTTAACAACCCTTAGTTGCCATCTTTTCACTTCTGATCCTCCAAAAAATTGGTGCACTTAATAATTAGATTACCTTCCAATTAATTCCATAAATCCCTCTTCATGGAAGAATCTAGAACAAAATATGTATAATCATACAAGGGCCACGTTAAAATGATGAATTTCTAACAGAAACAACATGCCAAACAATAACTGCCACTTTCAAATCCTTGATTCTGTGATGTACTATAAACCAAAAGAGTAGCAAAATAATCATCGCAGAGCATATAACATTTGAAGCAACCAACTAATGTTGAACTATCAACTGGGTGACGCTGCCTTAGAAGTTTTATTTCATTATTTTTCATTATTTGTCAAGCAATGTTCGGTCAATTAGGAACCAAACATTTCTCTGTGTTATTATCTAGATTATCTTCCTAAATACTTCTTACCAGTTCTCCTCACTGTTATAGTCCAGCATTATCTGTCTACATTTGTTTAAACACGTTTAAAAAAAAATTCTGCTTTAAACAGGTTTGTATATATGCTTAAAACTAAAGCACATAATCTGCCCTTAAAAATGACCCATTAAATCTGCCCTGTAATGCAGCAACATCAACAAAAGTCTTTTCCCAACTACTTGAGGAAATCTGCCCTTAATATCTAAATAAAACATTACAATGGAATCTTAGAAGATAAGAACTTGTCGGGTCAAGCCAAAGGGCATTTGAAGTGTGTGCGTGTTTGCTTTACCATTCAAAAAAATAAAAGAACTTGTCGTGTCAAACCATATACCTTACCAGGTCTAAAAAATAATTCAAATTATACATTTCAACAATTTTGGTATCAGAATTCACAAAAGAATGAACAAAACTTCAAATAAGAGATCATTGGGTAAACAAATACCAGCCGGCCCGTGTCTGGAAGCGATAGCCACTGTGAGAACAATTCCTCTGCAATTTGAGGGCTGGTTTTAAGAGCCAAAGGAGACACCACCTCTGGAAGCTGCAACAATTCGGGGTCCAGAGACGCCACATCCCCCAAAACTTCTACATCCATTATATGTATAACCCTCTACGTCTCCTACACTGCAGAACTACAAACCTCCTTCAAAACCCTAGATCTCCGAACTTCAACTCAATCACAAACCCTTGACAACCAACTCACCACCAATCAATACACACCAAAACCGAAAACGACGAACAACACAATTCGCTCGTGTTCTCTTGCTATCATCAACGCACAATCGTTCAAGCTCCAATTCAAGTTCTGAGGAACCCAAGGATTCAAAATTCGGAACTTGAACAGTCACGATATATTCGGTGCTTTCAGAAAACACCTTCTTGGTGAAAACTTCTTCCGATTTCGCTTCGAAAATTCTGAATTCAGAGTGACACAACTTTCAGAGTTGCAATTGAAGTATGTGAATTGGGGGGACTGTGTGAGACGAAGATTTCGATGAGTGGATTGGATGAAAAGCTTATATTGTTTCTGGTCACGGAATTTGCTGGTTGGAGAAAACGAAACCCTTGTATGTATAGAGAGATATATAGAGAGAGAGAAAGTGATATAGAGAGAGAGTACTTTTAACTGAAAGTTGCCTCGAAGGACTGTTCTGGTCAGAATTCAAAAACAAGTGTTGCGTACTTGGTTAAAAGAAACATTGGGTCAGTCAGTGGGTCACATGAGTGGACACTGGACACTCCACACCCACAAAACCACCAACCTTTTTTTTTTTTGTTTTTGTTAAAAGGGTAAGCTAAAACCACCAACCTTTGCCTACTAGTATTATCAACTTTTTGACAGATTTGAATATTAAAGTATTAAAAAAGCAACCACACTTTTGAATTTGGCAAAAAAAAAAAAAAAAAAAAAAAACTTACTTATTTTTTAAACAAGACACCCTTTATATAAAAAATTAACCAAATTACCCTTTAACCTTTTAAGGGACTTTTTTAACTTTATAATTTAATAAATTAGATCAATTTACCTTCATGAATAATTTATGTATAAAAAAAAAAAATTTAAAAAAAAAACTTTATATTGTTCACCTTTTTTTTTTGTTATTTACTTTATAAATGTCCCAACTTCTTAAAAATGTAGACGCCTAAAATGATTTTTTGATCCAATACATATATTTCAAATAAATTATATTTTGTTATTACTTCTTTTTCTTTTTTTTTTAAAATTAAGATGCTTAATTCTTTCATCTAAAAAATTTAAACCAATCTCTTTTCCTTAACTACCTTTTTTTTAAATAAATACTTCTAGCTCCTTTTTCTTGACTGCCTCCATGTAGATGAGTAAAGTTGTCAACAAAATTTTAGAGGAAATCAATAATTTCTTCAAAACGTCAAAGAAATCAACATTCTAAGACATTTCAAGTGTAACTCTTTCCCGACTTACCTGAAGCATAAGATTGTGTATGTGAGTAGGGATTAGTTTCAACTCAATATAAAAATGGAGTCAACCTTCTGTAATAGATAAATAAATCAATAGTTTCTAGCAATTGTCTAGTGGTTTATGTTATGTGTGTGTATATGTTTTCCTCTTTCATTTTCCTTTCACCTACTGGATTTGAGGCACATCATCCTATTTATACTAGCGTACTTATTTATTTTTTTTAAAAAAGGTGGTTAAGGAAAAGAGATTGGTTTAATTTTTTTAGATGAAAGAATTAAGTATCTTAATTTTAAAATAAAAAAGAAAAAGAAAAGAAGTAATAACAAAACTATAATTTATTTGAAATTATGTACTGGATCAAAAAATCATTTTAGACATCTGCATTTTTAAGAAGTTGGGACATTTATAAAGTAAATAACAGAAAAAAAAAAAAAAAAAAAAAAGTGAATAATATAAATTTTTTTTAACTTTTTTTTAAATGCATAAATTGTTCATGAGGGTAGATTGGTCCAATTTATTAAATTGTAAAGTTAAAAAAGTCTCCTAGACGGTCAAAGGGTAATTTGGTCAATTTCTCATGCAAATGGGTGTCTTTGTCCATTTTTGAACCTTAAAGGGATATCTTTGTAAAAAAAAAAACAAGTAAATTTCCTCTGAGTGTCTTTTTGCCAAACCTCGGGGGGTGTGGCTGTACTTTACCCTAAAAAATTTAACAAAAATGTATTTTATCTTGATGAATTAATTATAATTTGTGTATTGTATTAATTATCAAATAAATACATATGCTCTTGTATTTTTCTAATATAAGTTTCTTTTATATTATATATATATATATATATTTAATGAATTATTTATACTTTGTGTATTGCAATTAATTACCAAATAAATACATATGCTCTTATATTGTTTGGTACAAGTTTCTTTTATATAATAATGAGTTATTTATGCATTGTGTATTATATTAATTACCAAATATATACATTTTCACTCCTATTAGTTAATACAAATTCCTTTTAATTACTTCAGTTTTTGTTTTAAAAATTTCACACCTTTTGGACTCCTAATTTTTAAATTTTTATGCATATTAATACTTGTTAAAAAATTTACTTTGTAATTTATTAACTCTTTCGTGTAAATTTTTAACAAAATTATATTACTATCTAAAAAAAAAAAAAAGTGTTTTTATATTTCCTTGAGCTTATTATTGCAAGTTAAGTAGAGAGAATTTTTTTAATAAAAATCATTAAATATTGTAATACTATCATCAATGTGAGAAGGCTTAATTTAGCGATTTTGATTTAGGCCTCAAACTGCATCAAGTTAACCCTTATGTGGCGATGAACAATACCATAAAAACAAAACAAAACAAAACTCATAAATGACATTTTAAACTATACATTTTATTTTTCAAACTTGCAACATTTTTTTATTAAAAGCTTTCATGTGTTTGCTTCTAAAAATTTTGCAACAAACTTTAAGTTACCAAACATAATTTTCAATCAAAACACTCCACAACAAAAATGTCGTTTCTATTTCAGATGAAAACAAAAACATAAAACGTTTTCGGTTGACAGACAAGTCCTAAGAAATTTAGTTTCAAGTACTTTAGTGAAAAATTATTTTTGAGATATTCATTGTTACATATGTAATTTTTAAGAATTCATATTTAATGATAAATAAAATATATCTCACTTAAACTTTTAATTCAATTTAAATGAAACATTGACTTGCAAATTGCACTATCAAACACTTAATTAAATAAATCACTTAATTTAAATAGTTACTTTCTTATCTAAACTATTTGTGTTGCATAAATAAGTTAATTTCTTTTGTCATAAGCTATGGTCATAACCTCGATCAAATAATGCTTTATTATATATAATTTTTAGCACATCAACTCAAACTACTTCTAATTTTCCTTCCATACCTCATGCATTACATTAGCATGAACTTCTTTTTAACTAATGGTATTTGTTTTACATGAGTAACCTAGTAATTCTTATTTTAGTCATGCTTATTTTATAAATACGTTATTTATCAACCACTTAACATTTTTTTTTATACACGATAATCATGTTATATATATATATGTGCATGGGTGGAAGTGCAAAAAACATCCCTAAAGTATACTTTTTATAGCACTTTTATCCCTATTTGAAAAAGTGTGCAAAAAACACATTTATTCCTTTCACATTGTGCGAAAACAACCCTTAATCAGAAATATGACATAAATTATTACTGTGATACCCATTTTACCCTTTTACTCTTCAAAAAATGCCCATACCAAATCTTGAACTGGTTCAATCTAATACTAGTTTAGGCTAAGGAAATACCTGTAACCAAACGCCTTTTTTCTCCTACACCTTTCTTCACAGACTCCAGCTTATGTGATGGCGACTATAGTAACCGAAGGTACTAGCAGCGGCGACGACGGTTCTGGTGCCAACAATGGCTCTAGAGATCTACAGCGGACGACAAAGAGTAGCGACGTCTGTGGGCTCGGTGGTGTCGATGATGCAGAGAAAACAAAGAACAGCGGCACGGTAAAGGGGCAGTGGCGGCGGCAAAGAACAGCGACGTAGCAGAGGGTAGTGACGACGGCAGAGAGCAACGAAGAAGATTATTGCAGATCGCTGTGATGGTGAAAGAATCAACACCGCTTAGATGTTGATAGTAGATCATATAGCGTATGCTAGTCAACAGCGAGCACGGGACGGGAGAGACTGATGGTGGTCTCTGGGCTTAGCGAGAATAGCGGATAGCGGTAAAGTGACCGCCACCATCGATACCGTATCGTAGCAGTGGTTTAACGACCCAAATCCATTAGATATGGATCGCTAACCAGGTCCTTACCCGAACCCATGGACATGCAAGGGTACTAAAGTCATTTCATAATAAATTAATACTTTAAGACTTAACAAGGGCAAAAATGGTCGTTTAACTCAATTATAATGATTCAAGACCCAAAAAGGGTAAAATAGTCATTTACCAAGAACATCGAATGATTAAGATGAAGTTTGGGTGTGATATAGTCGAACATGTGGTTAAAACATTTATACTGGGTCACGTGGTAAATACTAGTAATAATAAATGGGTGATAAAAGGTAAAAAGGGAAACTAAATCACAAATGTATATAGTAGGAACCGGTCCACGTGTGTACATTACACGTCGATTGATTTGGCACATTCTGTCGACATGTGAGTCATCCACAGTGAAATTGTTCATTGCCAAAAATTTTGAAATATCGGTCGACGTGTGGGAAGCTACACGTCGACCGGTTATCCCCAAACATGTATTTATTGGTTTCTTTTTTTCTTTTTCTTTTTTTTACCCAATTACGTACAATTAATCACCCGAAACACAACCACTAAACCACAACTAATATACCACTAAGATGCCACTGAAACACCATATATACATACATATATATGTGTATATTTATTTATTTATACACCAAACAATTCGCTCAAACAAAACAACTTTAACATTTTATGATCGTGGGTTACATACTCAAAATAAAATTATTACATTTACCACTCCTAACATACTACAAATGCAAAAGTATGCGGGAAGAATATTGTTACAATGTTAATACAATAGTTTTCAAAAATTACAATTTCATAACCGTGTCTTTACCAAATCAAATGTAAATACAAAACGGGTCAAAAGAAAGAAAAAAAAAGGAATACTAATCCGTCTCTAGACTTGCGGAATCACGTCATCAACCATTAACTACACAATTGAGAGTTCGTCATCAACCACGTCTTCGTCATAACTTGAAAAATATTAGGGGAAGGGGTGAGCACGGAGGCTCAGTAGAAGTCGCCTAAGGCGTCAACTTTTTGGACTCCCTTGAGCCGCACAACACACATTAGGGATGAAAGAGAACCGGGATCATACATTGGGGATTTCATAACATTTAATTCACAAAACAAACCCAACAATATCATTTTAGCATTTCAATACGAGTATACATAGAATGCAATGCCCCATGATTCCCAACCTTGGTCTCAACCGACCCCAAACTTAGCCCCTACCGGCTCTAAGCTTAGTCTCTACTGACCCCAAACTCACATTTAAAGAAAAACGCTCACGTCCTACACCAGACCGCACTCCCTCTAGGTCAAGTTAGCACCGGATTCCCGAAATCTGGTTCTTTTTTATAAAAACTTTCATTCAACTTCTTCTTATTCCTTTTTCCCGCCATACAATGCAAGTGTATATTTTCTTA